GACATGAGGGTGAGTAAATAATGACTCACTTTAGCTGAACTATTAATTTAAGCCGTCTGTAATTACTCAAGGTTTGTTGGAAAGCCGCCCGCAGCTATTAAAATAGCAGGGGGCATCTTTCATTCTTTTACCTTTTTCCATTTTCATTTTTTATTAATTTTTCTCTGCAGCACGCTCCTCGTCTCAAACCAAACCACTCTTTCCTGAAGTCAGAAATCCCGTTTGCGCTTTCACATAATAGTCAGTTCGTACATTAACACTGTGTTTGATTCAGCCACGTCGGTCTCTAAACGCCCAACAAATCACTGAGATTGCTTTATTGCTCTCGTTCCCGCAATGGAGTCTGAAACTCTCAAACATTTTAAAAGAACTCCCAGTGGTTGCTTCATGTTGAATTATTTTTCAAAGCTCCTTTAATGTTGCCTTCCTTTATTAGTTTTGTTCAGCTTTAAGCCTTCTACATGAAATCACAAGGGGAAATGCTCTATTTTCAATGTATTTTTATGGTTAGATGCAGGCATCCAGAGGATAACAGTAAATCACATTATAAAGGAGGGAAAGAAAAAATGCTTTATATTCTTACAAGGTATCTATTTACCTTTGCTTTGTTGGCTGTTCTTTATCATTAACCCTGCGATATGAACACTGTGTTACAGTCTAAGACTCATCCGTCTCCATTACTGCACCCCAATGTGATCCCAGTTTATTTCAGGCTCGCCGCCGGAAAACGAGTGCCCTAAAACTGCCAATGCTAACAGGCATTGGCGGACAGGACACCCCCGCGGCCCTTTATGGGTGGCCGTCCTCGTACCATTATTGAGGTGAAATTCTGGTTTGATTTGGCCATCTACTGTAGGAATAGTCAAAGTGTTTTCCTGTGATGCAGTGCAAAAATGTTTTCTTTGTTATTTTAGACGAGTCCAGTTTATGTTTAATGCAAGAAAAAAATAATTAAAGACTTCGGGCCCTATCATACACCCAGTGCAATGCGGCGCCAGGCGTGACGCAAGTGTTTTTCGCTAGTTTCAGCCTGCCGCAGTTGTCATTTTCACGTCCTGCGCCACGTTGTTTAAATAGCAAATGCATATGCGCCCATTTGTGTGCTCATGGGCGTGCTGGTCTGAAAACGAGGTGTGTTCGGGCACATTGCTGGTGCGTTGCTATTTTGAGGCAACTGAAATAGACTGCGCCATTGATCAACAAAAACCTGGTCTAAAGTCAATGGTGCAGTAGTTTTTTTGTTATTTAAATAGCGCGTTAGTATAGGCGGGTCCACAGCGCGCGTACACTGCTTATTAGTCGTGGCCTAATGGTCGTGGCCTAATGGTTAGAGAGTCGGACTCGTAACCCAAAGGTTGCGGGTTCGAGTCTCGAACATATGACAACTGTAGCCAAATTCCTTGACACGTCTGTGTGTGGTGGCTCTTGATGCCTTGACCCCAGCCTCAGTCCATTCCTTGTGAAGTTCACTCAAATTCTTGAATCGATTTTGCTTGACAATCCTCATAAGGCTGTGGTTCTCTCGGTTGGTTGTGCATCTTTTTCTTCCACACTTTTTCCTTCCACTTTCTGTTAACATGCTTGGATACAGTACTCTGTGAACAGCCAGCTTCTTTGGCAGTGAATGTTTGTGGCTTACCCTCCTTGTGCAGGGTGTCAATGATTGTCTTCTGGACAACTGTCAGATCAGTAGTCTTCCCCATGATTGTGTAGCCTAGTGAAGCAAACTGAGAGACCATTTTGAAGGCTCAGGAAACCTTTGCAGGTGTTTTGAGTTGATTAGCTGATTGGCATGTCACCATATTCTAATTTGTTGAGATAGTGAATTGGTGGGTTTTTGTTAAATGTGAGCCAAAATCATCACAATTAAAAGAACCAAAGACTTAAACTACTTCAGTCTGTGTGCATTGAATTTATTTAATACACAAGTTTCACAATTTGAGTTGAATTACTGAAATGAACTTTTCCACGACATTCTAATTTATTGAGATGTACCTGTATATATATATATATAGAGAGAGAGAGAGAGAGAGTAAAAAGAAGGAAAATTTGTTTTTAAGTCTTGTTTTCTGAAACATTTATTAGAATTAGGTTTCTAAAAAAGAAATCTTGTTGTACCTTTGAATTAAGTGAAGTGGTATTTTCAAATGGCTTTATTCATGCGACTTGTTAGGAAAACTCATAAGAAATCAGAAAAATAATATTAATGAAGAATATGAAGCCTATTTTTTATTTTAAGATTTTAGTACATTTATTTTCATGACAATTAAGCACTTTTTTCTGGCCCAAATTCTCTTATATGTGACAAAATATCAAATTATAAATTAAATAATGATTTTTCCTATTTATTTTCTATTATAATTGTATTTGTAGAAGTACAATTTTAAGTATAGCCAAGGTAATATGCATGTATTTATTGTATGTGCTATAATGTATTCTTTTTATATTTATTTATTTTTATTATTTGTTTATTTTTTAGGTTTCATTTGTATATTTTATCAATTTTTTTTCAGTGTTTTCATTAGCCTATTTATATATATATATATATTTTATGTTAGATGTCTTAAAGGGATAGTTATGTGTATAACCAAACAGTTTCTGGTCCCTATTGACTTCCTTAGTATTTTTTTTTCCCATACTATGGAAGTCAGTTGCTACCAGCAACTGTTTGATTACCAACATTCTTCTTTTATGTCCAACTGAAGAAAAAATTCATACAAATTTAGAACAACATGAGGTTGATTAAATAATGACAGATTTTTCATTTTGGGGTGTACTATCCCTTTAATGTATAATGAATTGCACAAGGAATGGTTTAGCTTTTATTGACAGTGATGGGTTGGTCAATCACAGCATATTAAGAATTTCCTGAGCTAATTTACGGTTTGCTTTTTCCCGCTGCCGTGACTTAAATCACACCTGTCAATGCACGCTGTTATTTCACCACACCGCTGGCGGACATTAGGCCACAAGTGAGGCAGCGTTTTCAGATGGCTTTATTCACAGTGCTTGTCATTAGCGTGCATTAACTCGGGTGGGAGGGAAGGCTAGTCATTAGCATACGTACAGTGGGCTCATGAATATTTGAACTACTGCGAGCAGAGGACTCGTTGTTAGCGTAGCATCATTAGTGTAGTGTTAGCGGCAGTGAGAACGTTTGGAGCGACGAGCGGCCAGCTGTGAGCGCGCGGTACAGGGCCCAGGAGTGTGTGAAGGATGGCTGTTTAGAGTGTGTGTACGGCTTCAGAGTGCCACTGAGGGAATCACTGAGAGACTCTTTGATGAGAAACCGAGCTGATCGTCCCCATGTCCCTGATGACAGAGAGAGAGAGAGAGAGATGCGTCCCCACAGCTTAACGCTAAAACCTCAGGGATTTGCTCCAGTGGAGAGAAGAGCATTCCAGCGTCTCTCCCACACGCTCACTTTTTCTTGTGCACATACACAAACACACATGAGTGTGTTCAGAGGGGGTGCTAATAAACTAATTAAATTGAGATCACCCTTGGTGACGTGGCAAAGGGATCTCATTATAATATTACCGCCCCTTAATCTGTAAGTTTACACCCACGGCACCATCATTGTTATTTCGCAAGCGACAATGGTGTAATGCCATGGTAAAAGTTTGAGCAAAACATGCTAACTGTTCTGTCTTATAGATACACTTTAGGCAGCCGCGGTACATTATAAAAGTAGGCCAAAAAACTGCAACCCGTGGCTCTGCAATTTTTCCTGTGACTGCATTTTCAAAATAGCCCAATTGTGTGGAAAACCTCAACATGGAAACACTGAGTGCGCCTAATTAACCCCTTCCCCATAATGCCAATTGTTTTTAGGCCACATATTAGCAGTGGTGGAAAGAGTACTGAAAAATATACTCAAGTAAAAGTACCATTACCTTCCAAAAAATTTAGTGTGAGTAGAGTAAAAGTACTTGTCCAAAAAACTACTCGAGTAAGAGTAAAAGAGTAGCCTATTTACAAAGGAAAACCAGTCTCCTCTTGGCTTATATCAAAATCCTCTGACATTCTTCTTTACAAATCCTCGTTTTGTACTTCTAATTCTTGACCATTGTTTGGTTTTGATCTCTCCGCTGCGTTTCCGCATGTGTTACTTCTGAGCGGTGCATACGCAAAGCCGACCTCATACGTCATCAGCCCGGAGCGGCTTCCGTGTACAACAGTGAGCACAAGCTAGATTAAAGTGATTAT